GGTAATAGCGTGTTCGGTCCCCATAGCAAACACCAGCAATCCGGAGTTTTGCAAATATCTCAGCATAATTTTGGTTGTATTTCATATAATACCCTACCATTAAGAAAGAATAAGCAGCAAATAAAAAGTGACGACATTTTATTCCATTGTAGCATTTAGTTAGAACACCATCCCCATGAGGTAAATGAACCGTATTTTCGTTGCAGGTTTCTTTTTCGTTTTCTTGCGAAAATACTTGACAATTCCAGAGCATATGGGGGCTATCGATTCTCGGTCCTTCATCGTCGATGTGCTGAAAATCTCGGCATTTCTGCCGCCATTTCAAATTCACGGCACTTCCCATAATGCTACAATCATAATCCCATCATTATCGGTGTCTATTGAACACCGGCATCCACATTGAAAGCTCTTTACGAGTTTACTTTCTCACTTTCCATGTGTTTCCCAGTATACGACATCCATTCTGATGATTTCTGGTCTTTGAGCTTCACATTTAGTAAACCCTAATTCGTTTAAGTTTACCATTTTTCCAAATTAGGTTGGAATTTCCTAAATGGGATAGTAAATCGAAACTTTGTCATTTTGTGTAATACACTTAGCATGAAACATATTTGAGCGAGAACAAACCTGCGCAATTAGCTTAGATAGGATAAAATTCGCTATGGTCTCTATGAAGGATCACTATAATCCTGGCAGAAACCTTTTTAGCAATAAAAATTTTGTTTGTTGTTTTTCCAAAAAGCCTAAAGACATCTTGGGATATTTTCCTGAAGTGGTCGTGAGTGTTCCATCAGTTTGCTTGCCTTTGGTTGCTTGTACTAATAAGTGAACATGACTGACGAAGAATGAGCTTAGAATGCAAACAGATGTTATCCAGTGCTTCGATCAATATCTCCATCTGCTTCTACTTCCCTGGACTGAAGTGAAAACCTCTCTCTTTCCAGTTTTTTTTGTGAACGAGAGAAAAAATTCCACGCCCAACAGTTCTTTGTGTAGTAACCCCTTCTATTCAAGAACGTCGTCTTCACAACTTCCTAGTCATTAGATTTTCACGAACGTTCTGGCCGCTTTTAATCGTGGATTTCAAGCATAACTGTCTAAGTTTATCGCGAACTTGATCTGCAGGAACTGGAAGTGTGGAAAAATTCCTTACCTACTACAAATATGTTCATTCCGTCGCGGAAGAGTTCTAGGCTTGTACATCAACGTGCGAATCTGCTGGAGAAATTTTCAGCAGCTTTTTGATTTTTTGAGGTTTTTCACCATATGTATCCTAGCATGTTTGTAAGTGAGGTGTTCAACGAAATGCTGGAACAGGTACGTTTCCGTATTTTCCCACTCCCAATTCTTCTAGCAAGCACTGTTAGTAACGATTCTTATGCTTGGGCCCCGTTGTGTGGCAGAATTTGGGCTTTTTCATTGATTAATGCCAATTGCATACGTTATCGTTTCTGGTGCACTTTGTCCTCACAATAGCTCATCGCTGTTATGGTTTCGTGAGAATCTGGAACGTCATCGCAGTACATTTCATCTTGCCGAGCCCAAAAAAGTCACCATAACACTTTTAACACACATGCGGGTGATTACTGAGGGCAGTGATCGATAGAACTAGCCGAGAGACAGGTAAAACGAAGGACCCGCATGGTGTGGTGGTGAACGCGTTAGCCGCCGGAAAGGGTAACAGCGCGTTCGTTCCCCAAAGCAGACACCTCTGGTCCGAAGTTTTGCGAAACATCTCAACATCATTGAGTTAAAACTTTTAATAGAAAGTTTGCTTTGGAAAGCGCTTCGTTGCTACATTTTCCAACCATGTGTCGTCATATCATAGAGAATTCAAATTTTCCACCATGCTCAATTTCAAAAAACTCGTCGTTTTTAGAAGTGCAGAGTGATCTCACAAGGAAAAATTTATTGATAATCATTTTCTTTATACAGTGCTCATTCTTTGTGTTTTTCTTTTGACTTCTTAGCTTCTGCGAGCTGTTCCACAACGATTGTCTTGCTTGAGCCCTCTTCCTCCCGCATTTTTTACGTCGTAAGGTCGCCATTCTCGAAGACAGTACGTAATGAGCCTTTTCGTCTACACGATTCTCGACTCCGTCATGAATATTTTGTTATTGTTCTCTTACCCTATGCCCGTCAGTTAATCTCTGGTCAAAAGCAGCATTAACGTTTTGAGATGTTTCCGTGGCTTCACGTAAAATTTTTAATCGGTACGGTAGGTCTTTCTCTACTCTTGTTTGTTTATTTAGCTGTTAATACGCCTCATTTTTGCATCTATTCGGATACCAACACTTCCTGCATTCGATTCGTTCTCTCGTATCTATCGTCTACAAAGATCATCAAAATTTTTAGGTTTGGGGACGGTTGCTGCTTGACCATTCTAATCTTTTTTATGCAAATCTTTGAATGCTTGTCGAGACGGTTCTCTGTGGAGTTGTTGCGGCGTTGAGCTCCCAACCTTATATGAACACCAAGTCGTTGTGAATATTAGTCCTCGTAGCTGCCACGCGGGTCTTTTGCGTGTAAGTCGCTGAGTCGAACGCTGGGTTACAACTTTTATGGTAATAGTAGCAATAACAACAATAACAGTAGAGCGAAGTGTATGGGCGAGTTAGGCGATATGGACGAACTGGATGAACACTGGATGAACTCTGCGAACACTTGAACCCGAATGACCACGGGCTGTTTGTATTACTTCTGTAGTGGGTGGAGCTTTGCCGGAGGGAACTAAAGACAGCGCCTAGAGAGAGGTTGTAAAGGTTTTTTCTACTAGCACAATCTGATAGAGCTACATGTGAAAGGCTTCACATTCGAAAACTTCTTTGGGACGGCAGATGCTGGAATGTACATCTAGCTGACTGCTGCTGATTCAGTGCCCGAACTGTCGGGCAAAGAAGAGCAGTTTATTGAAAGAAGTTATAGAATCCCTTTTCAGCCACCTGAGAGGCAACTGCATGAGATAGTGACTAAAAGGCAATTTAGAGACGATGCGAAAATAGATTTAACATAATTACAGGTGAACAAGAAACATACACTAATACAGAAAATAGGAACTATTTGATGAATAGCTCCTATAGGAGTTCGAGGATAGCGGAACTAAAGCGTCCCACTTGGATTTCAAGGACTTAATTCTTTCCAGACACGCCTGGCATCAATTTTTCGACCCAGGATGGAATGCTTTGTTCCTGGTGCGGGGTCGAACCAGTAGCGTGCTCGTGGTGAAGAGCATTACTACCAATGTGCTATCGGTTCCATTTACTCATTTTATACATGTCCATATTCAGATCGTTGTTTAAAACACCTAGTGAAAAGAATTAAAGAGAAATTTTCATCTTAAAATGGCACATAATATGAACATTTATGTCAAATTTTCACTTTTTTTCATTTACTGCCGACTAAAGCTTTTCACTCCAGAGTGTGAAATATGTGTGTGAAAGAGTACGACCACAATTATGCTGAGATATTTGCAAAACTCCGGACCGCAGGTGTATGCAGTGGGGGTCGAACACGCTATTACCCTTTCCAGAGGCTAACACCTTCATCACTATACCATGCAGTTCGTACGTTTCGTATTTCTCTCAGCTAGTTTTCTATCTACCCATGTCATCAGCAAGCACCCGTCCACGGAATTTATCTGCGAAGCACAAATCGGCATTATACCCAGTTAATCTGAGGCTGTAGTTGAAATCACAATGCTAACTTTTTATTTACTTGTATTTACTTGTGGTCGTGTTTCACATAAGTTAACATTATTTTCGCGACAACTAATTTAGCTACCTGCTCAAATTCTCTTACCTGTTGAGAAGTCAGTATTTTCGCGCATAATTTCACTTCTTTAAGATGTTTAGCCAGTCGTTTCCATTGCTGCCCTCACACTTCCTTCACCTTCCCATCATTGCGGCGTACAGCGTCGGCTGATGTTTCCGCCTCACTTTTGTCCTATGTTTAAATTCACTTCTGGGGCATTAGGAAAGACATAAGTCGTAATTTTAGGCCCAATTTTAAGCTTTACTTTTTAAAAATCTCTTTGACTCAAAACAGTTTCTCACAGCAGCTGTCAGCCCTAGTGACTCTTCTGTGGAGTGCCTGACTTGGTATCAACAGATCTACATAAATCAAAACTCACCACGGCAATCCCTCGCTCTCGATTTATCAAAAGGGGAATTCCGTGTTTGAATTGATGGTCGTGCCGGTGGACGCCTTGTATGTAGTTCAAATCCAAATCCAGAAATGCTCTCTCACATCATCTACGCTGTAAACCTAGGACAACAGCTCACCTTAAGGAATAGCCGAGCTAAAATTTTTCGGTAATAGATGTAGTAGCTAGAACTATGAACTTTACACATCTCAAATACTACAAAAGAACTTTTTTGAGAAATGAAAACCAGATATTGATGGGTGTGTCGAGACGGAAACCTTGCTGGTCGCTCACTGGTTAGCTCATGTGAGTTTCGTTTTTCGAAAAGAGTTTTCTCGTGGGTTTTGCCGCTAGGATTCACTGCGGCACCCGTCTCCGTATTGATTGCGCTTTCTCGTCGCTGAGCTCCTTCTCTGACAATCCTTTATCTGCACCGAGACTTCGTTGCCCTTCCCTCCATTCCGGAACAATTCAGATGTGATTTTCTGTTCTTTTGACATAAGATTTTTCAGTATTGTTGTGGTTCCTTGGTGGAGATCTATGTCATAAAATTACGGCTTATGTGGTTTTCTGTTCACGTTTGGCAAAGACGATCACCTTATCTCACTATTGAAATAATGGCTATTCACGCACTCTTCCTTTACTTTTTCTACTCACTGTTTTTGAAAACACGCTCCTCTCTTTGTTAACGACAAATTTCCATGCTCACACCATAAATTCACATATTTTAGTGAATCATTTTTACCGCACCAAATGTTTCTCTGTCAGTTCTTCCACTCTTTTCTTTTGAAATCACTGCTTAATGTTGTTCTCATTTCCTCATTTTTTGCAGGTTCTAGTGTTAACCTCGGAAGTCACGATGGTTCGAGTACATGATTCTGAAGAAAACGAAGCTCCCGATGAAGAACTGACGAAGGAGTTCGCTCCACAGGAAATACCTATGCAAACGGAACCTCCTCCCACAACGTCCACTGCAGTGTGAGTTCTGCCTTGCTGAAACAACATTCTCGAGAAAAAACATTTCTAGTAACTTCTTCGTTTTTTTTCTCCCGAGACTAATAGGGCTTTATCTTTCTCCTTAAGCAGCCATCCCGTTGTGCATCTGCTTCCACGTGGCACCGTTTTTTTTATTTCTTATTTTCTTATGATATGCCATAGTGGCAAGCAAATCAGGCAAAGACTATCGGTAAAAGAGCTAGTACTTGCCAAGATCACCTCTACATTGAGTTTCTTCAAAGGTTTCGTTTCAATAGGCGTGAATACTAATGCTTTTAATGCATGGATTAGTAAAATTATATGGAATAATTCTGATAATAACTATGATCTACTCCTGACGATATAGGGCACTTCTTTAGGGCATGTGAAAGCATTCACGACGAAGGCTGCGAAAAAACCAAGTAAAACGTGTGGTCCAAGTGCCTTAGGCCGCGGTTTTCAGAATGATATCTGTGTAAAAAAAGTTATGAGACAGGAAATTTAGTTACAGTGGCCAGGGACAGTTTTTTGGACCATGCCTTAGAAAACATCATGGTCCTCTAAGAAACGCTTTCTTCCCAGTTTCCCACTTCCTTCACATGAAAAATTGTTCCATGGATTGCATAGAGTATATGGGGGAGTCAGAGCGAATCAACCATAGATGAAATAAGGTAGATTTTTATAAAAGTCTCTGCCTTTTAATATTTCTACACCTGTGAGAAAGCCGAAATCATTTTAACATGTCGTTTCCCTTATCATCTTCCTTGTCCTTTTCTACCATTTTTGGTTTTTTTTTCTTTGCTTCCACTTCAAATTTTTAAGTTTCCTTTCTTACTTTATCTTCTAGAATTTTTATGTAACTGGTGTGTATTTCAAAGTGCACCTGTTGTCATTAAAAGAAGGAAGCAGTTAAGCAAATAACCACATATCGAGCATGTTCTATGTGAAAAACATTAACTAAAGGTTCGTTTGCATAACTAGCACTGAGTCCTCCATAAAAATTGTTTGCTTTAAATTAAAAAGTACCCAGCAAACAGAAGAAGCTCATTTCTAGGACGACGACGAAGGAGTCGCTGAAAGATGTGGTGTTGGGCAAAGTAATCGACGTGAAGGACGTCGTCAAGTCAAAAGTCATGAAGGAAACAGGAAGTAAGTGAATTTCATCCCAATTTCTACAACTATTTAATTCCGAGTGCTGAAAGCATTAGAACTTTTGTGAACTCTCGTGTTCTTTGTTCTTCAGATTTTTACTATTCGCTGCAAAATTTTCGTTCTTCAACACAAAAGTCTTTTCACTTACGTGTTTGTATTAGTTTCCTTGTATTTGGACCTCTAAAATAAAAATGAAGAAGGACAAATCTGAAGTAGAACTACAAGGATGCTGTGATTTGAACAAAACTCGGGACCTAAGTGGGCTTCGAAACGCCGCTCACCTTTTCAAGGGGTTCACGTGCTATCCACCATTCCAACTAGCGTCCTTGCTTTAACTTTATCTCAGCCAATTTTTTGCTCTTTGCAGATTATTGTGGATAACACTTCTAGATTAAAAAACAACTAGCTGAGGAAAAGGCACAAGCTTCGGTCGGTGTGGTGGATTGCATTTGAGTCCCCGAAAATGGAAATCACCGGTTCGAATACCACCTGAGGCTCCCACTTTTGTTGATATCTCAGCATTCTTGTGATTGTATTTCACATGATATCCTACCATGGAGAAAAAATAACCAGTAAATAAAGATGAACGAATCTGAGATTTTTTAAAAATAGAAAAGTGAAGGCAAAGGAGCGGGGATGGTTCACAATTTCGATGTTTTATTTATACCAGTTAACGAGTTCGTAGGGTGCAGCATTTATTTTAAAATGGAATCTAATGTGCTTCATGAGAGTCTTGAAGATGAAGAAGGCAAAGGACGACCCGCTACCGTCGATGGTGAACACTTGAAGTAGTTTGAGCGCTACTACCCATAACGGCTTGAAATCTTGTGGAGAAGACGAGGCTAAATTAAAAAAAGACTTAGCTTCATCACATTCGTTTCACTTTGACAATTCGTAGGCTAGACGATTTACGGCATAACTTGACTCTTTCCCGAGCTTCCGAATTTAGAATTCGAATTCTTCTTTAGCTGAAATATATCATATGAGAAAATAGTCTCTCCTGCTATACGACGAACTTCGGGACAAAGTGATATCGCCATCGTGAGTTTTTCATACAGAAATTTAACTGCTGAAACCCCGAGTGGTTCAAAAAAGCCGATTTCGAGCGTGGCCAAATTTTTGGGAATTTAGGTTATTAAAGCGGAACGAAACGTTATTTGAGCAAATCATGCTGTGAGCTATAAGAGGCAGTTAGTGAGGTACCGTAAGAAACTAGTACCTTTTTATTGGCAATTATGGAAGATTTGTTTCTCTGTAGTCATCCACTATTATATTGCTAAACTGGAACGTTGTCCACCTCATCAGAAGGATTCTTTCTCTAATTTATCGAGCGCCTGCTCAGACAAGAGCCATTTTCCCACTTTTTAGCTTTTTCATTGAATGAATGATTTACCATCACACCAATAAGCATAACTGGATCCGTGAAATCGGTGAGACGGGTAGTAATTTCGAAAGCGTGTCGTTTTTTCTCTCGTAGTCAACAACATGTGCCGAAAAAAGTTCGAGTCAGAAATGAGGAAGATGGGATAGAAGCGAGTAAGAGTGCATTAAGATTGCTCCCAGTTCCGTTAAAAACCTGTGAAATCGTTGGTCCAAAAGCTGCCAACTGTTTTTTAATGAACTTTTGGTAAGACTATCCCCGGAAATGACGACTTCGTGATTTTTCAGACGTAGTTTTATATAAATGTATTTTTAATAACGAACAAGAGTAGTCTGTTGAGGAAATGAGTTCCTGATGTTATCATTATTAACCTGTCTCTCAGCCATTTCTATCGATCTTTGGCACAGCAATCACCCGTCAAAAAAAAGCGTTTGAAATGACAGATGGAAGGACAATAGCGCGTTCGTTCCCCACCATAGACACCTGCGGTCCAGAGTTTTGCAAATATCTCAGCAACGTTGTGGTTGTATTTCGCTTAGTACCCTGCCGCGAAATTATAGTAGGCAGAAAATAAAAAGGTATAACATTGTTATCATTCGTATGAAGTGCTGAGATATCTGCAAAACTCCGAACCACAGGTGTATGCAGTGGAGAACGAACACGCGCTGTTGTCCTTACCGGGGAGCAGCGCACTTCACCACTACACCATCCGGGTCCTTCGCTTTGCATGTATCTCAGCTAGTGCTATCGTTCTATTTCACACCATACCCTGCCATTAAGAAGAAAAAGGCAGTAAATAAAAGAGTTAAGATTGTTATCATTATTATTACTATGAGTTACAAGGTGACATTATGTCCACACTGGAATATCTCGCTGCTCTGCTTTCATATAAATCATGTAGAGCAAAAAATCCAGTCCGTGTAGCATCTTCGGTAACTAGTAACTCTAGAAGAACACTATAATCACTAGCAAAGTCGGGAAGTAAAAAAAGATCCACAATGTTAACCTTTTATTTTCTGCCTACTATAATTTTTCACGGCAGGGTACGGTGTGAGTTACAACCACAACGATACTAAGATATTCACATAACATGGATACCGGACCAGATCGAACCACGATTTCGTTTTCCGGGGGCTCACGCATTACACAGTGCACCCTGTATGTCCTTGCTGTGCGTTTCTTTCGTCTAGTTTTCTATTTACCAGTGCCATTAGCAATCACGCGTCAACGGGATTGATTGTGAGGCAGTTGTCGCTCGACTTTTCATACAATCTTGTTGTGCTATGAGTACTCTTTTTCCATAACATTGTGATGTTTGGTATTCTGTGCTTCCATCTGTCATTTCAAACGTTTTTTTTTCTTCGACATCAATAGAAATGGATGGTCCTCAATTCCAATTTAGCTACTGTTGTGATCTCTGCCTTTCCGTCCTCGAATTCCCATCACAGTAACCCACGTCTTAATCACAATTCGTGAAATGAATCCCCATTGACTTCTCGACACAGCACCATACGATTTCGACAAAATTCGTTCTCGATCACTTGGAATATCCGGCTTGGCTTCATCAGACGATAGTGGAAGCTGAAAAAATGGAATCTTTGTAGTTGATGGCGTTGTGGCTGAGGTCTAGGAAATTAATTGCAAACGAAGCCACTAAAAGGATATTGGCTCATTAACGATCGTCAAAGATGAAGTTAATTTTCGATGGCAGCAGTTTTTGATGAAAAGACTTTCGTTATTTGTTAAAAAAAAAGGAAATCCACAATGAATACATTTTCAAGTGTTTGAGCTACTTTTTCACTTTCCTGCTTATTCTTTGTTTTTTTCCACTTTTTACTTGTTTTTTTGACCGAAGTTTTTATCCTAAAATGAGTTCTAAACTTTTGTTCCTACCGTTCTTCATTTTTTAAGGGCTTGTTATTTTAGTTAAGAAAATGACAGCTTTAAGGAAAATGGTAGCATTAACTTTTAACCATCTACTTTTGTTCTTAAATGCAAACAGTGTTTGAACTAAGTACGGAAGACAATTTTCACACGTGAATTTTCTCACAAGTCTGTAAACAATCCATTTCATATCCAGGAAGAACACCGACCAACAGTCAATCGCTTGAGCCATAACCTATGCACTGGGTCTCGTAAACTCAGTTCCACTCATTTCAGTGCCAGAATGGATGTTTGTGTTTCTCGGAATCATTGCCATTATCGTGGTTCTTCTCATAGCGTATCTGATTATCAGAAAGCTTTTCGGGAAGAAACGTCATGGTGATAAGAACAAAAGCAAAGGCTTCAAAGACTTCTTTGGGAAAGGCACCGATTTGATCGCTGGGAAAGATGTAATAGGCAATGTAAGTCAAGGATTTCTTCTTTAGTCGTGGTAATACATGAAATGATTTTCATTTTGTGACAATGTCCACATTATCAGTTCATTCGAATTTTAGAGCACTAATCAATTTTAGCTGTGTTTACTAGTTAATACTCATCTTCAAAGGTTTTCAAAGGGCGTGTGTAGAGCACTGGTGTGAGGTGCCCTTAAATACGCATGGGATCGACCTCCGCACCTCAGGCTCACCAAGCTTTTCATCCCTTCGGGGTCGGAAAATTGGTACCAGACTTGTCTAGAAGTATAGTAGTACTGGCTCGATACATCGGTAGGCTACCGCCGACCATTGTAAAGGCCAGATAAGTATTCAGTCACCTCCAACGTTGCTTAGTGAAGTCAACTGCATAGTATATCCTTTATGGATTGATCAACGCTCGGCGCTTCATCCTTTTTTTATGCTTTTTACTCACTTTTGAGGACTTTAATCATTTATTCGTATCTGAAATATTTTGGCAATAAATGAGAACACTAACGTAGGTTAAGACCCTTCTTGGTTTTTTCTGAAGTCTACCGTTCCTTAATATATTAAACTTCACAACGTTGTAGTACATCCAAAATTTAGTTAGAATCCTTGTTTGCCATTTTGGGAGCTCACTTTCCTTGTCGGCCACACTTTCCGTTTCTCACTGCAATACTTTTAGCTCCAACAAGACATGGAAGAGTTAGAAGAAAACATGGAACAGAATGAGAAAGCTCAAGCCGATGAAAAAGAAGAGGTGAAACTCGGCAGGATACAGTACAAGCTTGATTACGATTTCCAGCAGGGGCAGGTACATCTGGCGATTTTTCGTTCGACGTAACTAGTTGGAAGTTAGATTGTTTCTGTCTCTTGAGAATTATCTTCGACATGAACTTTATGCCTCAATAAATTCGCCATGTAGAATCATTACAAGCTTATACGAACAGAAATGCTAAGTATGGCTTCTATTTATATTGCAGATTTTGTTAATTTCAGTTGTCCGTCACTGTGATCCAAGCCGAAGATCTGCCAGGAATGGACATGAGTGGTACCTCTGATCCGTATGTCAAGCTGTATTTATTACCCGAGAAAAAGAAGAAGGTCGAAACGAAAGTTCACAGAAAGACGCTAAATCCTGTGTTCAATGAGACATTCATTTTTAAGGTGCCTAATTGTCTCATCTTGTATTAGCTTTGCATAGATCTCTTACAAATATCACCATAATATAAGTGCTGCAAACTAAACGAACAGATGCTTCAGAACCTCCGCACTGTCGCTAAATCGTCTTTAGGGCTTTGAGCAAAATACCTTAAGCGTTTTTGGAGGAAACCACAATATTTGAACTTTTATTTACTGCGTATTCTTTTTTAATGGCAGGGCATTATGTAAGACACAACCAGAGATATGAGCAAAGCCGGGAACCTCAACTGCACTTCGAATCTCCGATTATCCTTTTCAGGGATTCGTATGTTATCCACTGCACCAACCGAGGTTCTTGCTTTCCCCTTCTTCCAACCGGCTTTTTGCCTTAGGAGCGCGACCAACAATCACCCACGGGAATGATGTGAGCAGCACAAATCCGCAAACCCAATTAAGCTGAAGTTTTAGTTGCAATAACAATTTTCAACTTTGATTTAGCGCCTGCTCTTTTAAGCGCTGATTTATTTAGTTCCTATTTTTTGAGCCTATAAGGAAGGTTATCGCGGGTTGGAAGCGTACATGAGGTTCCAAGTTTTCCTTACATATCAGGATCCTTATAGCTATTGCGAGAGTTCATAGTACTGTTTATATTGCTTAATATTCAAGCAAGTTATTCTAAATTCAGGTGGCTTTCAATGAAATCACAGCAAAGACGCTAGTTTTTGCCATTTACGATTTCGACCGATTCAGTAAACATGACCAAATCGGACAGGTTAGTTTCACTGATTTTATTATAGTTTATTTAGGTACTAACGAAAATCCAACATCTTGGGCACGTATAATAAAATGACGTCGTACCAAGGTCAGGTGTGAAATTTTACCTGTCAGGAGATAGGATTCTGATAATAAATGGAGTTCTTTTAGAATAATTATTGTTTTATTGTGCCTGGTCGCCAATAAAAATTTAATTCCACATAGTCCCTCCCACTCAATATCAAAAGCTTAAGAGTCTTCGCATCCACTGAGGATCCTCCTCAATACCAATGGCTTAAGAGTTTTCACGTCCACTGAGGACGTTCTATTTGGTCGTTTCCAGAATTTATAGACTTCAATGTGGTAAAGTGTGACGCGGAGTCTTTAAGGTAATGTGTCGTTGATGACGTAAAAAATAGATATAGTTAGACAATAAATAAGCTACATTACTTTTGTTGAACTGACACAGCATTCTTAACACAGCCGATACATCTTTCTATATGACCCATCATCACATACATCTACTCTGCCGATCTCAGCACTTCTTGAATTCGATTCGTTTTCCTCGAATTAACCCTTCACAGTGGTCTTCGAACAGTTTCGCGTGTTCTTCCGATTCTGCTTGAGAATTTCATCTCTTTTATGAATGTAGTAGAATGCTAATCGAGTCAATTATTGTTACAATCTTGAATATAACTTGCTTAAGGCGTTCTCACGTACATTAGAAGAGAGCGTTGGGGGCGAGGTCGAACTAGCGCCTTTTCTTCCTTATGGATGGCATAGCTAACCAACTACTGTTTCAGTTTTAATCTACACAACCTGGAAAGAGTTATATTAACAAATACCCTACACGATCAAATGTTCTTGTCAAGTCTAAACGAAATGAATACTAAACAGTTTTCTCAAAATCACCCACCGTTTTCTTGTTTAGTCTTTTTGGTTGAGGGCATCTGAACAAATTTATGTGATAGGAATTCGTCAATATCTCATCAGAAAAACTAACCAGAGGTAAGGAGAGCATCAACAGCGATGAAATATTCTTTCTTGTTCTTCATCAGTAATCTTTGAAATTGGTCGAAATCGACTCCTGAATTTTGAAAGCTGATACTTTCGATTCTCATGCAGTAACTTGCACTACACTTCAAAGTTGTCAACTAGTTAGTATTTTACCCAAATTTAAGCTCTCAACAGCCTTGCGTTATTGATAAGGCTACAGACATTGTTAAAAATCCTCATTGTTGCTACCGTTTCGCCTGTTTCGTCTTCATCAGAGTCACGATAACTCGACTGGAGTGTCCACATCATTTGTCAGCTACTGTGAGAAGGATTGTCACCATAAAAGTAATTATTTTGGTTTACAATCGACCAAGGACCGTCCTGAGTCCTGGGGAACTGCTGGGTAAGGTCAAACCACTTTTGCATTGCTAGAGTGCTGTTTAAAAGGTAGTGCAGGTTGAAAGCTTCGTTTTATGAAGCTCACAAAACATATTCTTTTACTTCGAACAAACGTGATTTCACTCGCCATGAAGCGATGGTGTTCACCAATGTCTCACCTGTAGTCCCGATAATCATCGAGTGATGCCAATAAATCCACCATTTTTCCTTGTCGTTTAAAGGGAACAGGGTGAAGTTTGGAAGTTCTCAACTCCCCAAATACTTCACTAATCCAGAAATTATTGTAAAACTGACCACCGTTTAACCTCGGTATATTTCCAAGACCCACTTTCTACTAACTTGGGTACTGATTGATAATTCACTGTTCTTTATCAGTAAACAAACACGAGGTTAGTACTATAGGATTCATTAGCGTACAATAGCTAGTATTTCGGTGGTTTGGCCTTTTTCAGAGCCTCGGAGGGTCATATTGACATGCAATTCACTCAGCCAAACACTTTCATAACCTTAGTAGATGAGACTTAACACATTAGTTTACTCCCACGTCCGACTTTCTATTAACCTCGCCATTGATTGAACAATTCTTTCCACTTCTACTCAGCAAACACGAGGTGCTATTCCACTTCCCCACTCACGTAAAAGCTGACGTTTCGGCGGATTTCGCCTTCCTCAGAGCCTGGGAAGGTCACGTCGGCAGCAACCTATTCGGCCAAACACCTTCACAACCAAACAGAGAAAACGCCAAACCAAGATTTCAATCACATTGAACACAGCTCCGCACACTCACCGCTTTCTACGAGTCTTCCACTGAGTATGTCGTGTGAAGACCAACCGCACAGAATTCACCTCGAAGCGTAATGTGCCCCTCCCATCAGAATAACACGTTTATATACTTACTTCCTTATGCATGGCACCTAGCCGGAAAACATAAACCAAATACCCCGCAAGGCACGCATAGGACCCGGCGACATAACGGGGAGGACTTTGAAGTACGTGTCCCGATCCTTGCGCAGGAATCAAGAACACAAGCGCGCAAAACTCTCGAGGCGTTCTGGATTAATTCCAGAAATCCGAAAATGAACCGCAGGGAAGAATGCCTCATTATCACGCGTGATATAGGGCACCTGTTATTCTGATGGGAGGGGCACATTACGCTTCGAGGTGAATTCTGTGCGGTTGGTCTTCACACGACATACTCAGTGGAAGAGCCACAGAAAGCGGTGAGTGTGCGGAGCTGTGTTCAATGTGTTTGAAATCTTGGTTTGGCGTTTTCTCTGTTTGGTTGTGAAGGTGTCTGGCCAGGTAGATTGCTGTCGACGTGACCTTTCCAGGCTCTGAGGAAGGCGAAATCCGCCGAAACGTCAGCGTTTACGTGAGTGGGGAAGTGAAATAGCACAAAAGTTTACATTCGCAGAATAAACAGCCTCTTTTCAACACCCATCGTTTTGTTCTTTATAAGCATTCTGGTTAATTGGTGCAGTGCAGCCGCACAGAGTAATACATGGGCGAGAATTGTGCGTGGGTTATGTCATAGAATCAGCCTGAGGTGTGACCAGAGGTCACGTGATAACAAGGCACTCCTCCGTGAGGTTCATTTTTGGGTTTTTGGAATTAATCCAAATCGCTTCAAGAGTTTTACGTCTTCGGATTCCTCTGCAAGGTTGGTGACTCTTCCTTCAAAATCTTTTCCGTTGTGTTCCTGTGTCCTATGTGCCCTTAGTGAAGTACTTTGTTTAACTTTAAGTTTATCGACTAGGTGTTTCCTCATGCTGCGAAGAGTAATCTACCGATTTCGCCAATGTATTCGTCTCCACACGCTTTACGAGAGATTAAATAAACTGTACTCGAACTAATGTAATCATCACTTTTGCCTTTAGTGCAAATTATGCTAGTTTGCGTTGTAAATAGACGGTAACAAAAGGGGTTGCGAACTAGCTGGCGTCTTAGAGTGCTCGGTGGCATTTCAGTTACTGTTACTCGAATTCTCCATACCGGCTCTTCTCGAGCAGTGTTTATAGCTGCGCTTATTTCATCTGATATGAGCAACAAAATAAACAGGACCTTGTTATCGCTAGAGTTGTCGTTTGGCTTGGATTTTGTTCTCCACTTATCCCGACGCGCAATAGTTTCGTAGCCAGTAGAAATGGCTATTTCTCGCGCCAAGTTCCCGAACTCCTCCTTCTGCTCTCTTCCTATGAATACGTTGATTGCTGTTAGAAACATGTTTCTCACAAGCGCCCTTTTTGTGTGTGAGGGGTGAGATAAGAGGTAATGAACCATTATGTTTTTACGCGGAGATGAATATATTGGCAAAACGGGCACACCTTTGTATATCCGTATAAAGGAACACCTGGATGGCAAAAGAAAAGCAGAACAAAGTACTTCTCTAGGGACGCATAGGATACAAAAGCATAGCAGAGACGATTTTGAAATTAAAGTCAATATCCTCGCACAGGAGACTAAAAGACCAGCGCGAAAACTTCTTGAGGCTTTTTGGATAAATGGCGAAAACCCCACAATGAATAGCAGGGAGGAATGCCCAAAGATCACGTGCGACCTGCCCCTGCATCTTCGCATTAATTTCTGATGTGGGGTGGTGCATTCATCAACCATATGCAACTATAATCAGCTGTTCTAACCTTCCTCATTGGAAGTCACGTAAAAAGCGGGGAGTATTTCGAGAAGCTGTTGACCATATAGTTACCATAGAGTTTTTCGTCTTTTTGTAAGTGTTTTTGAAGCGTTTGGCCTAATAAATTGCATATCAATATACCGTTCCAGGCTCTGAACAAGGTGGTACTGCCGAAACGTCAGCTACTGTTGTATTATTGTTTTTGTATGAAAGTAAATATATGCTGTACAACAACCTCCCGATTGCTGAACAAGAAAACGACGCATTTATAATCCAATGCCGAGGTCAACTGAAAGTCGGTCCTGAGAACTACTGCATTTCTACAACTTCGCTTTCCGTACCACTTTTTAATGTAGCCGTTTTCGGATTGCTCCTGAGAATTCGGTAACAGTAGTTGAAACACCACCAAGCACTCTAAAACGGCAGCTACTTCGCATCTTCCTGTATTATTATTCAGGTGTTATTCAAGATTAAATATCATTCTTTGCAGATGCACATTAGACCTCCAAATTCCTATCGTATACGTACAGCGCAAATTGCATGATTTGCCCCAACGGTAGGGGCCGTGATTGCATAAGCTCGGGTGCAGTTTATCTCATCCGTTGTAAGGCGTTCGGAGACGAATACAAAATTGCCGAAATTGGTAGACCACCATGTGTCCGCATAAAACAACTCGTTGATAAACTTAATGTCAAACCATATACTCCACTAGGCACGCACACGACACAGAGACATAATGGGGAAGATTTTGAAGTAGAAGCTACGATCCTCACGCAGGAATCGAAAACATAATCGTGCAAAACTCTTGAGGCAATCTGGATTAATTCCGAGAATCCGAAAATGAACCGCAGGGAAGAATACCTCATTGTCACGCGTGATATTGGGCAGTACATGTTTTTCTGATGGAAAGGGCACATTAAGCTTCCATGTGAATTCTTTGCGGTTGGTCTCCACGTAACATACTCAGTGGAAGCCTCATAGAAAGCGGTGAGTGTCCAAAGACATTTTGTATTCAATGGGATTGAAATCTTGGTTTAATTTCCTCTGTTTGGATATGGAAGTGTTTGGCTGGCTAAATTGCGGCCAACTTGACCTTTCTAGGCTCTGTGGAAGACGAAATCCGCGAAAACGTCAGTTTGTTTTCAAATAGAGAAACAAAATAACACTTCATGTTTGCTGAACAAGAATGTAAAAAATTGTTCGTTCAACGTCGAGGTTAATAGAAAGTCGGTCGTCAAAAAACCCATATGTTCAGCCACTTTTTTCAACTTTTTCACCCAATCGGGTGAAAAAACTGAAGAAGCTCCACGTCATTATTCGGACTGCTGCCTTTACAAATGAGTAGTTTTTGCTACGTTCTCCCTAACAGTGGTTTAGCATTGCGAAGCAAATGTCTGGGGTTTGATTCCACTTTGATAGGATTTTGTAGCTGTGAGCAAATCATTTTTTTCCTGTTTCTTTTATAAAATGTCTTTGAAAACATGTGAACTTTTATGGGAAATACACACCTAGCAAATCGTTGATCAAAATTTTCAAAATATATTAAAGGCTCAGCTTTTTTTACCACCTGGGTCTGACGTTGACACGATCAGAGCCTCTGTTAAGTCGCGTAAATCGTGCATGAAAGTTTACCTTGCTGTTCTCTCCTCTTAAGGTACTTCTCTCATTTTTTCTTTTTTCTTCCAAAATGTAAAAATGTGAAGCAGTCTCTGCAAAGATGCTGCTGTCCTCCAGGATATAATTTCTCGTCGTTCTGCTAAAAAAATCTCTTCGTATTTTTGTTGAGCAAACACGAGGTGTTACTATTCTTTGTTCACGATTAAGCTGACGTTTCGGCGGATTTCGCC